GGGGTTGAGTCCTGACACAGCGCTTGGGTGGGTGCAGGGGACTCGGCACCGTTCCCTGCCCCGCGGGCAGAGGGCGGGCCTGGGCCGTGGGAGCCCGAGCGCTGGGGCGGAGGGTGACAGCGCGCCTGGGCTGTGCTTCGGTCCCTGCGCAGGTGTCCGCTGGGGTAGCTGCCCGTGGTCGCGGTGCACCAGGGTTGGGTCATCCAAGGGCGACTTGGTTCCCAGAAGTTTGAAGATCCGTGGTGGGCAGCGCTAGGCTGATGGTTGGCCTCGGAGCGCAAGGACAGAGCGTGGGGTGCTGGCATATGGGGACCCTCTGTGCGCGGGACTCTGCACCAGCCAGGCCAGCGTCGCGTCGGGCACGCACGGGGGGAACTCTCTGAGGCTGGGGAGCCCCGGCTTCCCACTGGGGCGCCCCAGGCCCTCAGCTCCGGCATCAGGGCCCGAGGGGCCTGGATTGGCACACTTGACATTTAAAGGGAGCAAATATAATCATTTCTACCAGGTTCCGAGACGTAGAAAATGGACAGAATGGCACTTTCTTTCATTATAAATATGAACATGATACACTTGAACGCTCTTTTAAGGAAAAACAATGGACTGACTTCTCCTAGTAAAGGGGGTTCCTGTCTCATTCTTCTGGAACGGTCACTGGCGTCACTGTTTGCGATTTTGCTCTTAAGGAAGTGGTGAGGTTCATTCAGGATTTTCTGGTTAAGCACCGACAACGTGGATCTAATGTGGACTCTCACGTAATGTTCAGCCTTCGTCCACTCACGGAGAGATCGTGTTCTCTCTGAACACTAGCGTCGTTCCCCCCCTTTCATTTCCGCTGGTAACGTTGGCGTGGAGCGGGGCATGGTTTCCACCGTAGTTGGAAACATGCAAGCTCAAAACCAAAGCATCCAAAGGCTCTGGAGACCTGATTCTGGCGCTTAGGTTTGGAGGTTGTTGCTTCAAGGTGGCGTGAATCCGTCTCTTCTCGGGGAAACCTCCCCCCAGGCTCACGCGGAAGCCAGCTGACCAGTGCCCGAGGGGTGCGATGGGAGGTGGACGGAGAGTAAAAGCCTGCAGTCCGTCCAGCCCAAGGGTGGGCAGCAGGGTCCTTCCAGATCGGGGCGGGGGGAGGGGGCAGCTGAACGGTGAGGACACTGCATGGGCCCGCAGGAGGGAAAGGCAGGAGGTCTCTGCGGTCAGGGACAGGCTCCCCGTCTTGGGCCGCGGGGCCGCGGCCAGCTGGCGGGTCCCTAACGCTCCCCTCACTGACAACTTATTTATTCTTTCTTTTTCTTTTCCTTTTTCCTTCCTTCCTTCCCTTTTTTTCCACTAATTCCTTGAGGAATGAGCCCCAGGTAGTATATGACTTTGAAAACAGAAAAATCCCTCTGGTCTAATTTTCTCCTTAGACATGTTTCAGGATAGAGTGACTTCGTAGATCTCCAGGGTATTTCTTAAGGTGGCAATAGCACCAGGTCGGATAGTCTAACGGCCCTGGGCATGGATTTCTTACAACGGACTTTACTCCAATGTCTGCAGAATCTCCCACATCCTGTCTGTAACAGCACCCAGCGGGTGTCACTCTGGGTTGAGGCCAAGGCCCCTCTGACAAACCAGTCTTCTGCTGGTAAGCTACAGGCCTGGGGGAGTGAATCACTCCCGTGCTTTTACTGGTAAATCAGCATGTCGATTAGTTAAAACCTGTTTTCACAGCCATTGACGACGCCTGTTTCTTCGTCTCAGGCACCAAGACGTGATGGGTTTCACTAGTTTGTGGGTATTGGAGATTGGCCTGTGTCGGGGGTGCTCCCCCAGACCGAGTCTGCAGTGGTCACAAAGAAGGAAGAGATAGTTTTGATTGTCACCCCCTGGGGTACTGCTGGCACCCGGTCCGTAGTGGCCAGGGGTGCTGCTACACATCCTCCCCCAGAACAGCCCCCACAATGGAACTACGGGTGTGTTGACAGGGACCACGTAAACCTCAGGAGAACAAGCGATTCACGGAGGACAACAAGGGAAGCTGACATCACAGATGTCTTTATGACGTCATCCTATTCGATAACGTATTGAACTCAAGTTTGTTGTGTCCGTTGGGGATCTTTTACGGTTTTCTTGTTGATGTTTTATGTTAAGCTCACTCCGAGGAATTTTAGTTTTTTAGTTTCCACAATAAATGGGGCTCTTTCTTCCCTTTTATCTTCTAATTGTGATTTTTATATTCAGCTCTATAAATCAATATGGGACTCCACTAATTGTTTCTCTAATTTTCTTGCTCTTTTTGATCCAACTTTATGGGCTACTACTGGAATTTAATTCAGTTTAATATTTGAGATGCTAATAATAGTGGAGTTAGCAGACACCCTTTCCACACGAGGCATACTATTTACTGCTGAGCTGAGATTTATCTACTTTATCAAGTTAGGGAATGCTCCTTTCATTTGCTTTATTAAAAATTTTTTCAACAAATGGTGAATTTCGGCCAATGCATATGAGTTTTCCCTTTAGATTTGCCAAGGAGATGAAGTGTGCCTCATAACTGTATCTTCCTGACACCAAACCGTCCTTGTGATGCGGAACAACTCTGCCCTTGGACAAAGTGTATAATTCTTCTGTGTACTCTGGATTCTGTTCCTAATATTTTATGTAGCCTTCTTTTCTCCTAAATAGTCTTGAGAGATAGTGGCCTACTGTTTACTTCTTTTGCGGGGGAGAGTCCCAGTTTTTGGTGGGTTTTGACTTCCTTATTATCTTGCCTTCAAAAAAAAGAATTTGGGAGCTTTTGTTCTTGGGGGAAAAAAATTAATCAATAAAAACCCAACATAAGCAAGTAAAATCAAGTATTATAGTTGACTTAGTTTATAAAAGAGGATTTCGTGTGTTGGGGTAGTAGTCGCCACTCCAACTTAGTTTCTGAAGGACAAACGAACACTAAGGCTAAACTCCTAACTCACGAGAAAAATTTCCACATAGGAAAAAAAAAATTCCGGTTCTGCCATTCATGCATTGTGAGAGCTTGGGTTCGTTATTTCACTCCCTGAACTTGCTTTGCTTTTCCTCTTCTGCGAAATAAAAATCATCACAATGTCTCTTTGTAATTACAACTATTAACTGAAAGAATACCTATAAAAACTCACCGAAATGTGTGTCACGGTCCATTGAAAATAGTACTAATATTTGCTCAACAACAGCCTCTCGTTCGAGTGGAAAACTGACTCAGGAGTTTTCAGAGTTCTTCTTCCTAATGAGCAGATTTCACCCAAGCAAAGGAACGGGCCCGTGCTTGCTGCCTAGCTCTTTTTTTTTCCCCCCAGAAGGGCGGCTCAGGGGATGGAAAGGAGGAACACTGTCGAGGTCCCATGTCCTTCTTCCACACAGAGCCGGACTCGGATCCGGAGAGCAGTGCGTTGTTTTCCTTCAGCAAACGTACCTGCACCCGCTCCTCAAAGAAGAGCTTTTATCTTCAAAGGAGTCGCATCAGGGAGCTGTGCGCCTGTGTCGATAAGGCTGCCAAAAATTTTTGGAACTCTTCCTTCCAAATTGCCCTTTGAGCCTGCTTCAGATTCTTTTAGATGTCTTCACTGGCAACACACTTCTACACTTTGGGAGTTCTTAATTTGGAAAGCAGATTGAAAAACAACTCTTATAAATAAGAGGGAGGATAATGTCCTTTCTGATTTTTTTTTTAAAGGAAGCAAGGGTCTTTTTGCGTAGCTTGTAAACTGTCTCAGATAATTCCAGGGAGGGAATCTCTAAAACATTTCAGACCAATGGAAGCATTATGAGAGTCAGCCTGTTGCTTTCTGTGGGATTAACGGGTAATGTGTTTATTTAGTTACTATCATGAAACAAATACTTCTAGAACTCTGTGCATAAGCAGTGTTCTAGGAGCTTCCGCATGTGTCAGCTCACTCAGAGTTCCTCTCACGGGGCAGACAGTGTCGCTGCCCGCACTTTGTACATGAGGTGATTAAGGCACAGCGAACTGAGGAATTTCATCCAAGGACACAAAGCTGGTAAATGCTGAAGGTGGAAATTGAACCCAGGCTGTTTAGCAGGCCTGCTATTTTTTTCCAGAAAGTACAACCCATGTGCATTAACAGCTGTGCTTTCTGGGTTTGGGGAGGTCATGCAATTTAAACCTTTGGAAGGATACTGTATATCTCCATGATATGTTTTAACCTCAGGGAAAAGCCCTCCTAGTGTGGACAAGCATTATCTGACCCCTCCTTCTCCACTGTCCCACGGGGGTCCCCCAAGGGGGTAAGGAGAGTCCGTGTTGCAGCTCCCGGAGCCGGCCCTGATTTCCCGAGTGAACAGGCCTTCCGACAGCACCTCGCCCTCATGCCCAGGAGGAGTCTCTCCCCTCACAAGGCTTCCCTCCTCACGCCTCGTTCGAGACTCCCCGCCCCAGCCCCGCAGTTCGCTCTTCCCACCGCACCGCTCTGTGGCTCCGTTCTTTTCCTTCCATGAGTATCTATTTTTAACATTTTTTTCAATGACCGTTCACACTGAATACCGTTCTGCATTCGCTTCAGTCACACAGCACAGGGCCAGTCACACACACCCCAAAGTGGCCCCCCTCCCGGCTGCCTCAGGCACCCGCCTGGCCCCTCTCATGGTGAGCCTGTCACCCCAAACCCATCAGCCAGGCTCCCCCGGCTGTGACCTGTGCCCCTGTGACTGTTCTCTAGCTACCGATCTCGACTCCGTAGCTCGATCTCGCTAGGCTAATGGGGGAGACAGAGAAGTGGAGGAAGAAAGGAAATGCATTAAAGTCTTTGTAAGTTCTCTTTGAAAAAGCACAGTATCATTCTCCATCAGCGAAATGCTTTGAATGGCCCCCTCGGCTGTCCTTTGCTTTGAAACAGGAGTTTCCAAAGCAGCTCCACGCCGATGCCAACAGCCTATCCCTGGCCAGCCTTCCGCTAATGACAGCAATGCCAAGGAAACATTTTTAAGCAAATTGGAAAAAAAATGATTATGCTGGAACTTTCTCATTTCAGGATAAAAGAAAAATACAGGAAGAAATCTCACAGAAGCGGCTGAAAATAGAGGAAGAAAAACTAAAGCACCAGCATTTGAAGGTAACTCATGTCTTTCATTTCACGCCAGTGATTTTGCGCTCCGATAATCTGACGGCACTCAGATTCCAACAGGACACTGAAACGTAGTCCTACTAACACCTCCGTAACCACAGGGGAGGCCGACAGGCCAGTGATATTCGCGTAGGACAGGAATACCTTCAGGCAAACGTGTAGAGAACTGAAAATATGGTATGGTAACTCGTTATCCTTCATTCCTGGATTTCCTCATTTTCTTGGATGAACTTGAGAATTCAGCCTTGGCAGTTTGGCCCAGAACAGTCTTGCTTAACACGCCAGGGGGTGGGTCCAGCTGGGAAGTCCCTTTTAAAATCAATGAAAGGCCATCCTTTCCCCAGGGCACGCAGGATAGGCGCTGTCTGGCCTGGCCCAGGGGGCTGGCCATTAAAAGCTGGACACCGTGGATCCAATGTTTGGGGGTGTTGTTTCAGTTTGTTTTGACAGACATGAGATCATAACCAAAAATAAAGTTCCAATCTGAAATCAGGCTTCGCATCTCCCGAGGGTGTGGTCATCTTGTAACGAAACCACGTGGGGTTTCCTCGGTTTCTGACGTGGCTCAGTCCACGGGTGCAACCACGTGACTCGCAGGCTCCGTGTGAACGGGCCGCCACGGCAGGAGGTCACTCACATGCCAGGGCTGCCGCCCGCAGATGCCGCGAGCCCTCGGTGAGACCACGCCGGGCGCTCGCAGGGCCCGCCAAGTGGGGCGGACCTGGCTGAACCCAGCTCAGCCCCTCTGTCCGAGGGACCCCGGAGCCGCCTCCGAACAGAGCCCTGAGATCCCGGCGGGCCTCGGTGTTCGGGCTCTGCGTGTGCCTTTGCTCCGATGCCAGCTGGCGTGTCCAGCATCGGATGCTTCATTTCAAAGCACGGGGGGCCCACTGTCTTCACGGTGTCCCACGGAGTGGACGCGAGTCGTAGACATGGCCAAGAAATGCAGTGAGCACTCCCGGGAAGATCAATGAAACACAAACAGATTTCACCAAGTTATTTCTGTGCAACTCAGCTGAAGTCAAAACTCCCCGTCCAGGTGGTGTGTAGGGCTGTAGCTCCCTCAGAGAGGCATCGCCTGTCCCCCTTACTGCGCATAGCTACCACCCTAGCCCGTCAGAAATAAAGTCAAGGTAAATTCTTCAACTGCTGCCATACTAAGATTTCCTTGGCACCTCTGACCTCAGGAGGTAACTCCTGGCCTTCGGTAACACCACTCACTGAGTGACCAGGGCACCGGGATGAAGACCCTCTGGTTGCAAAGCGGTGGTCCAGGTGCACCGGCCTGAACCCGGAATGCCCGACACCGCCAGGGCACCCTGGGACGCGGCTGCTCCCCCGGCGGGCTGTGTCCGAGCTGTGCCCCGGGCCTGCGTCCGACTCCAGGCCCCCCCCGCCTCCGCCAGAGCCGACCGGGCTTCCCCTGTCCTGCAGAGTGTGATGTCACACAACAGTTATTTCTAGTCTGAGTCATACTTTTAAATAATTTGAAAACCACTGCCTTAAAATAACCATCCTTTGGTGATTACCGAGCACAATCAACCTTCCTTACTTTTTTTAAATTCAGAGACATTCATATGCCAGGAGTATCAATTCTAGCATCTTTTGAAAGGAAACAAAAACTCCTCTCCCTTGATGCCCTTTATGGTGGAAGAGAAAGAAGTCCCAGAAAATAAAGAACAGTTTCCATTCTTCTCACCCTCCGTGGATGATTACTGGGCAGAGGATTTACAACAGTGCTAAGTAGCCAGGGCACTTTCCTTCAGGAACAATAGAGAAACGCACACCCTTTGAACACAGTATCCAACTGTTTGTACCTGAGACACGCACAGGTGCTCACTAAGCACTGCCTCTGCCCCCACCCCCCCCACCCCCAAAACTCACAAGCCTCTTTCATTTGCTCTAAGTCTTCTCAGGCTCAGGTCTAGGAATACGATTCTTTCAAGCAAATCCAAGGGGGGTTTCTTTCCATACGATGGAACATAAATCTTTTCTCTTGTGTTTAAGTTGACAAGAACTCAACTCACCAATATTTACAGATCAGTGAATTTTGTGCAGTTGTATTACTGGGATAAGTAGAGAGCTGGACTTAGGGGCCAAGAGCCAGGGAAGTTCTCAGAAGAAAGCAGGAGCACCCTGGCCGGGTGGCTCAGTTAGCTGGAGCAGCGTCCTGTGCACCAAAAGTCTGCAGGTTCGATTCCCAGTCAGGGGACATACCTGGGTTGCAGGTTCAATCCCTAGTTGGGGGCATGTACAGGAGACAACTAATTGCTGTTTTTCTCTCACATCGATTTCTCTCTCTCTCTCTCTCTCTCTCTCTCCCTCTCTCTCTCTCTCTCTCTCTCTCTCTCTCTCTCTCCCCCCCCACCTCCCTCTCTCCCCACAATCAGTAAAAACATATCCTGGGGTAAGGGCTGAAAAGAGAACAGGAAGGAAGCAGTGGTACTGAGTAGGCAAAACAATAAATGTTGACCGCACAGCCTGAGACTAATGTTGAATTAGTCTGAGACACAATAGCAATCTCTTGTTTTGCCTACCATTCCAAATATCCCCTCAAAAGACTTTTCTGGGAGCGGCAGCTGTGTACTGTCATTGGGATGAATATCAGAATGGCTTCGGGGAGTTTCTACTTTAAGGTCACGAGACACAGCCCATCAACCACACCAATAACCCTAAAGCCCCAGTGAGAGAGTCCCTGCATGACTCCATGAACATGCAGTAAACACACAGCGTGTACCTGTGCGCACACGGTGCTGCGTGACTCTGAGGGGAGCCCTCCCGAGGTGAGGCCCGGGCCGGGGGCAGGGTGCAGCAAGAGGGCCCAGGTCTGTGTAGAGAAGGAGGGGCCTGAACTAGAACTTGAAGGAGAAACAGGATTTAGAGCCACTGACACGGGCTCATGAAGAGTCCAGAAGGGCACAAAGAAGGACAATGCCAGGCAAGGCATTCGGGCAAGGCAGTGAGAGAAAATGATTTCCCTTCGCCATGGCCACTGGGGTCCATGGACTTGAAAGCCGCCAGAGATGCTGGACCTGTTGACCAATTCCCTTCTGTGTCCTGCCCGCAGAAAAAGGCCTTGCGGGAGGAATGGCTTCTGGACGGAGTCTGCAGCGGGAGGGAGCAGGAGGAGATGCGGAGGCAGAACCAGCAGGACCAGCACCAGATCCAGCTCCTGGAGCAGAGCATCCTCAGGTACGGCCTCGCCGCGGTGCGCCGCGACCACCTGGATCTCGGTTTGTCCCCACGTTGCGTGTGCAGGAGCCGCTCTCATCTCCAGGGACACAACCAGACCTCCCATTCGGATCTCTAATAAAAACTAGGGACGCACACCACAAGGACGCCATAGCGATTTTCCTGTCAACGTCACTGACGTACAGCGGCACGGGAGTTAGTCTGAAAGTACATGTTGGTGACTCGGCCACGGCTCCATGGGCCTGTTTCCTTGTCTACAAAACGGCAGCAGCCACACCCGACGTTCACTGTCACTGAGACGACCAAAAATGTAGACGTGGCGCTAGAAGCGCCTTCCTGGCCCACGGCAGGTCAGCACGAAGCAGTGCTCCTCTGCCCCAACCCCCACTCTCCCCTTAGGACAGGTGACAGGTGACAGGCGTGTGCACACGGCACCTCCCCCAGGCCCAGTCACACCCGTGGCATTTGGGAGGAAAAGACACGCAGGGAGGGCTCCTTCACTCGCCGCATTTTCTCTCGTCCACTCCCCCGACCGTTTGGTCCCAGGCAGCGGCCTCGCTTCCCCACGTGCGTCCCTGCCCGTCGGACACCGTCGGTGCAGCGGCGGCACCTTCCGCTCTCGCCGAGTTTTTAAACTGCCCGGGTTTCAGAGGAGGCGACGCACGGGAGCACAGCTGGACACAGCTCGGCCATCGGACGGGGTTCTTGGTGCTATCGCACGACAGAGACGGCACGGGAGAGGGCGACCGGGAAGGTCAGAACCGTTCTCTAGCCTGCACTCGGAGGAGAGAGGGGGCTCCTTGTGGAACAGTAACAGCCGTTTAAAGCCTCCACGTCTTTGACACGTGGTCACTCTCCACGCTGGGCTCCCTGCACGCGTGTGCTCTCTGGTGGGGGCGGCAGGAAACGCCTGCAGGGCCAGAGTCCCCGGTAGCTGCGCTGTGACCGCACCTGGCCGCACGGCACACGCAGATCCCGCGGGGCTAAAACCCACGACACGGCCAAGAGCTGCCTCTTTCCCGGCTGATACTCACTCCACGCACTTGTGCCTGTGACAGCTAAAGTCACTGGCCACTCCCTCTTACTGAGGTGTTTTGAGAATTCACTGTTCCTAAGAAGTTAGGTTTTGTCATTGCAATGTTTGTGTCTAGAACCCTCTCAGCTGTTGGCTCGAACACAGGAAGTGCGTCTGCAGGGTAGATAACAAATATTTTTAAAATGAGTGCAGTAAGTCAACTCGACAATTTAGAAAACTCGCTTCTTCGTCGGACGCCTCTCCGCAAGAGCTCCTCGCCCAAGTCCGGCTCCGCCGGTGACGGCTCTGCTCGCGCCCCGCCCGCAGCCTTACCTCCGGAGCCGGCCCGAGTTTCACCCCCGAGAACGCTCTGCCCCGCGCAGGTGCCTCCTCGCCCCGCTCGAGCCCCTCCCGGGACTCCTCCCGCAGACGGAACCCTTCCTCTGCCCCTGGCGGTGACTGGACTCAGACCCGTGGCCAAGCTCCAGCTGCATTCCGAGTGACCCCAGAGAAGGGGCGAGACCCCACGGCTGCTTTCAGACCTTGACGGAGCGCTGGGAGGAGCGTGAAAGCTTCTAGTAGTAATGACAGTGGCTTGTCTAGTTAGAGCTGCTATATGACGGAGGAAGAGGAGGAGAAAATGTGTTTTCTCCCCATGACACCCTCCAGGCACCTTTTCTATCTGCCGTCTCATTTAATCTCCCCAACCCTGGGAGGTGGGTGTCCTCACCTTCACCTTTTGCAGAGATTAAATCACTCGTCCGCTGGGAAGTGGCAGGTCAGAGGAGAACCCCGGCGGCCCCCTACGCCGCCCACGCCCCGGCCGCGCACACACAGCCCCGTGCCCTGGACAGGCGCGGCCGTGGCTCCCAGGAAGTCCTTTCTCCGGGAGCTCCCCCCACGCTCGGGACGCTCCGTGCCCCTCTTCGCTGAATTTCCGATGACACATCTGTCCCTCACCCAAGTCCCGGCTCCTCACTACGACTTTATTGCAGATGTCCAGGTGTCCTTAACTCATCACGGCCCCTTCTGGGCACCAGGAGAGGGTGATCCCCAACATAAAGAACAGGAACGGCCATGGGTCTTTCCAGATGGCCTCCCACGGTGTACGAAGCCCTCGCCCTCGGGTTAAGCCACTTCACACTCCCTAGAGAGACAGCGTGCACATCCCCACCCCACAGACGAGGAGATGGGCTCAGAGAGGCTGAGGGAGGTCATTAGGGTCACAGAGCCAGTGAAGGGGAACCTGGGCCCCAAGCACGTCAGGTTCTGGGCCCTCCCGCTGCTCCGCTGAAAGTGAGCTATAGGAGTGAACGCTCTGGGTACAGTAAGGCCCCTCATGCCTCCTAGGAAACTGCTTTAAGGAACGGCCCTTACGAGATGCACTTGCAAACAGTTTGTAAAGGATTTGCGTCCTTGTGCCCACAAAGGCATGCTTATCTCGCTAACAATGTGCAAGAGACAGCATGTTCCAAAGCAGCCAGCGAAGACAGAAAGTATCTGTGCCTTGTCCCTGGGAAGCGGGCTCCGTCTCTGCCCGGCATTACAGAAATCCCGTGGCCTGAGCAGCTTTACCGGACGACCAAACCTTCTCGGATGTGTCTAAAGCTGCTCAGTAATCAGGTGCACGTTTTTAAGTGCAGTCTTTCTCCGAAACAACTGCCCAGGGTACTGGAGAAGCTTTGGTTGCCGGATAAACATAGCACTGGGTTTGCGTGTTAGCTCCAAACGGCCCCGCCAGCCCCTCCCCTAAGCAGGGGAAGGATCCAGAACCCTCCGTGTCCTTTATCTATCACCTGACCTAGGTGCCCACCCAGGGGTGACATATGCCCTGTGCCAGGCCTCTCAGCTGGAGGATAAGATTTTAATAGGAGCATCAAAATAGCAACGTGGCTGGTAACTCAGATTGTAGCGCGACCAGACTTGACCCAGGAAGTTGCTCTTCCTTTGGCGTTCACGGTTTTGTGAGTTGGACTCGGAGTCCAGCCTTTGACCCTGGGATCCCGGCTCCGCCCCCAGAGAGCTTAAGCCCCACCACGTTCTTTTCTCCCCTCGGGCCTCGGTTTCCTTGGCGACCGTGGGACGATGACAACGGCCACATCACAGGCCTGCTGTGAGTGACACAGCCCCCAGCGGGCCTGACCCAGGACAGGTGTCCAAAAATATACTTTAGATGCCGTTCCCTCTTGGGCGTCAGAAAGACCGCCTGCAGCTCTGTGGACACTTGTCCATCTTGTGGCCAAGAGTTCTCCTTTCTCTAGGCCAGCACAGAAAATCTCTTTCTTCGGTGAACTGAGATGAGCACGCAGCAAGAATTTGGAAAGAACGGGCAGGTGTTCTTGTGGCTTGGAGACGCGCATGCTAGTAACAGGAGTTCATCTTTACCATGCACGCCCCGCAGGCCAGGCGCCGTGCGAAGCGCTCCGTCTCCGTCAGTCCACGGAATGCTCACAACCGCCGCGGGAGGCACATAACATTTAAAGGTGAACACTGACATTTATAGAGGCCAATTTGCCCCGAGTCACACAACCAAAGACATGAAGAGCCAGGATCTAAAATCTAATTAAAAGCCTTCATCACGACAATCAACTGTGGCTTGGCTACTGCAGAAAACTTTTGCAGAAGGTGGATCCTGCCTGCGCCTGCAACCCTCCTTTCCCAGCACGTGCGAGTTCCCACCCATGCTCCGATCTCCCTCTTGCACGCGTCACTTTGCACAGACACACTCACACAGCACGCTGGCAGCTCCCCTGACTCACATGCGACCTTTAGGTGAAGTCCGTCTGTTTGTTCATCCTCCCACCTTGTGTGCCGAAGGAGGCGGCATTTCCGATCATCGGTGGGTGTTTGTGCCCTGTGCCTCTGAGTCATGTGCTCAGCTTTGGGACGCTGTCAGTGGGTTGCCTGGCCCCCCGATTGAGACCTTGGGAGGACACGTTCCCGGGAGGAAGACAGCTTCAGTTCGCCCCCCAAATGAGCCCCGAGCTCCGGTGACCCGGACCGCAGACCCAGGCGCACACTCAGCCCCGATCTCGGTCCAGAGGCCCACAAGCACAGACTGCTGTGTCCAGAGGAGCTGTGCCGCCCGCACCCGGGCCCCTCCCTCCTCCCCAGATGCCCCGCGGTCTCCAGGCTGCCCCGCCCCCGGCTCCTCTGCAGACCCCTGCTCCTTCCCCCCGTGTCCAAAGACCCGTGGCTTCGGTGGAGCACGCAGCGCGCCGGACGGGAGTGTCAGAGCAGAAAATGCAAAGAGGCCACTTTGCCGAGGAGGCCGCTGCGGAGCCGCTGCGTTCTCTTTGAGCAGGGTTCTCCACTCAGGGTGAAACGCTCTCCAGTGAGCGGCGTTAGCGTATTCCAGAGCAGCGCTCCGACCCTCTGCCCAGGGGCTGGATGCACTTTCATTCCAGTCCAAACAGCAGCCGCCTTCCGCATACGGTGCTAGTGGGGAGGTGCCCCTGATGCACTGATTCCCACGCGGGTGTGCGTCACGAGAAGGGGGGGACAGGTGTAAGGGCGGCCCAGCCGCCCCACCAACCTCAGGGCGGTTCCTCCACGAGCGGGGGAAGGGGGGATGGGGACACCGGAGAACGCAGTCCACGCCACGGGCCACGGCACACATGCCGCTCGTCCACTCAGCGGCCCCGGAGACCGCGGGCAGCTCCCAGGCCACGGAGGAGCCCAAAGCACCGGAAGGACTGGGTCGCTGGCTGGGGCTCATCGCCCTTTACATCACCCTTGCTCCTACCCTCGCTGAGCCCCTGCCTGATGCTCCCACCCCCTGTGCAGGGCAGCCGTGCCTTAAAGAAACAGGTCCCCTCAGACAGGCAGAGGCATGCTGCCTGGGAAACACCCATTCCCCTGTGTCCGCCTTCCTGCTGGCCTGACGGCCGTGCCCAGCGTCACGCCGTAGGGACCCCGACGGGCTGCCGTCCTGGGGCAGTAGGAAGGGGAAGCGAAAAGTGGGGGAAACAGGCAGAAAGGGAGA